ACAGCCAATGCTACTAAGGGTTAAAATTTGGCAATTTTTACACCTAACAGCTAAATGTTTGGCCTGTTTTGCAGCTAACGGTTAACCCCATAGTGAACCTCAATAAACTGTACTGTGCAAGAACACAATAACTGGCATAAGTTAGGGATTGAACCGAGACTGCTCTTGATATACAGAGTCTAATGCTACTTATTATGTAACTACCCATAAGACCTGTGACCCTTCACCCAGACCAGGCACAAATAATTACACTTACCATTTTCTTCTGATTCTTGTGGCCCTAACTTTAACTTTGACATGCTGCTGTCAGCCATGGAACTATAAAATAAAACTAAATTTAATAAGCTAATGTACATTAAGACATTCCCAGAAGCTTAGAGATTTAACAGTTTCAATTTCTATTTTATGAGTGCCAGTATCACAATCTCATGTAGCTATACTAGAAGGAATACTTCCAAAAATAAGCTACTGAAAGCAAGTTTTGTAATGTTCTGGTGCGATACATATATCTTGTAGAAAATGAGGCATTGTATCAATTCTGCTTTTGATGTTTCAACTCATTGTTTGAGAGGCAGATTATTGAATGAATCCAGTCATTCACCCTTGGGCAGAATGTATTGTAATGAGTATTTTGACTTAAACCCTCAAAACATATTAATGATAATAATTATAATTTACTTAGAATACCTGCAATTTCCCGAATCTTGCAAGGGCCATGACAATTTAGAACTGCTATCACCATCAAGGCTCTCTTCTTTGGAAAGCTTGGCACCCAGAAGCCCTGCATAGCTTGTGCTTCCATTGTTTATAAATTTCATGATGTCATCCAGAACATCAGATCTCCTGACATCCACAAGAATCTCCAGCAGCTCTTTACAAGTGGTAACAGTGCATTCTCTTAACAGTTCAATAGTTGGATTAGACTTCTGTTCCAGATGAGGAATAATGCTTGAGAACTGAAGCCGTGAAGCTACTATGCGCCAATCATTCCCAGACTCTTTCTGAGGATTAAGGGACTTAGAAAATTCATTCTGTAGTTCCCAGGTTAACTCTTTCACAAGATGTGGAAGATGTTGTAGCTACATGAAAAATTAAATCAAGGTCATTATTTACAGAATCTTGAACTGAGGTCATATTAATTTTGTATGTATCCCATGGTGTAATGACGACTTTTAACATTGAGGACTGATGATAAAATATGATGTTGATGACGACGACTATGGAGTTAACGATGATTGATGATGTTAATGATGATGATGGTGGTGGTGACGATGATGACGAAGATGACAACAGTGAAGATGATGATGACAATGAAAGGATTATTGGGAAGCACAGTCCCCTGAAAGTTAATGTGCTTGACTCTGGATGAAGTGATCTGGGTTTGAGGCCTGGCCTGAATTTTTGTGTTGTCTTCATGGACAAGGACTTCACTCTCAAAGTGCTTCTTTCCATTCAGGTCAAACCAAGACTTCAGAAAGATTATTGTGTCATGCGACTACAATCCATTGAATTGCATAGCGATGACGTAAAATATTTGCACATCCAGTTAAGGAAAGGGTACTGACTGTGAAGTTTTCCTGATTGTTTGTTGTTCAGGATTGAATTCTATATGCATTTAATTTTTGTGCCATAAAGTACAGACTAATCAAGTCTAAGGAACTTTAAACTTGCATTACTCAATAATGTCAATGGTATAATTTTTTCACTGAGGGTTGTAGATCAGTCACCCTAATACTGGTTAGTGGACTGGACTTGGAGATTGAGCAATCTGGATTTGAGACCTGACTGGCTTGTTCTGTTGAATGTCTCACAGTACCTTGCGACACGCAGGTGTATACAGTGTTAATGGGTACTGGCAAATCTAATGCTGGGGGCTGGGGTACCCTGTAATGAACTAGTATCCCATACAGAGGGGAGAAGAAATGCTCGTAATTGCTTTATGCTTTATGCTCAAGAAGCCAGGATGTGCCACTGACCTGACACAGGCTTCACCTTACTTGAGGATCAATCTATGTTGTTTCATACTAAGTTAATAAACATGATTGTTAGTTAGAACAGTCTTAAGTTAACAACCTAGTCAATGCAATATCCCAGACTACATTGTAAGTGTATTGACATTTTTATTGGCCAAAATGAACAACTATTTATTAACAATGATCTTCAAGTTTTGTTAAGTTTAGTACCATTTACTTGTACTCACCAAAAATTGTACTTTAACCATTGTCCCATTTCTCTCTGCCATTTGATTTTGAAATGATACTGTGGAAGCAGATGAACCTCCACTCCAACTGGAGAAAACATCCCAGATGCTAATTTTAGTTGTTTAAGTATGTTTTGCCCCTATGAATGCCTGTTTATTTCACTGCACTAATGATTGTTAACAATGTTGTATTTCATGTCATCAAGTACAGAAATAAACAATACTCAAATACAATTACAAATA